AATGTCTGCTTCTGATTGTTTGAGAAGCAGCAGACATCCTGGAAGACCTACATAAGGAAGCGCTGTGGTTTTGGGGCACAACTTGCAGACATGTTTAGTATAGAAAAGAAGGAACAAATATATGTTTGTATGCAGGCATATCAATTTATGAATGAAGTTCTCCAACTCGTTGGGGTCATTTCCATCTACAGTAGGGTTGAAATGATTAATCAGATTAATCGTGATGAATCTCTTTTTGAAATAATTGTCAATTAATTTAGTAATTGATTAATCGTTAACTGGAGTATATAGACTCAAAAAAGGGCTTTGTGCTGAAAGAACAACACATTCAGAGCATCCATTGAACTGTTAATCTTGTTGCACTTTTAGCAATAAAATGTTTATTTTTTTATTTTCTTTTAAAACGTTGAATCTTTGCATCTTTTAATGTATTTCTAGTATTGTGTAAAAAAGCATAAATAGCTAAATGAAAAATCTTCAGCCATTTCTTTTATCATATTATTTCATTATTTTTCTACCTTTGTTTTTCTTTCTCTTTTAAACTAAATTGAAGTCAAAACCCAGAATTAGACTATAAAATATATTTAATTTACTTTGTTAGAGGAGCTTTGACTAACAAAGCTAGCACACTGTCTTAATGTTTATGACCTATCCTTTGTCATCTATTGACTAAATGTGTTGTACTTTCTCAGTTCATTCATAAGACTGGTCAGACTGACTAAATTTATTAAAGTAGCTGATAGTCACTGCATATGTTGAAAAATCCAACAGACAAGACATTAAAACATCAAACAATCCGAAGAAAGATTTCACTATTCAGTGCTGATCTTCAAACGGGAATGAAAAAAAAAACTGTGTCTGTGCTGTGCTGCCCATTGTGCCTTGATTTACTCGCATAGGGACACATGCATCTCCAAGACAACGCCTTGAAATGTTGTCAATGTCATGTTGCTGTAGGGAGGCAACCTACCCCTCTTGAAGCACTCTCTTTATGGGAGACCATCAGCATGTTAATTTGGAAACTTTTGTCTATATCAATCACTGAGTCTAATATAATCTTGTTTTAAAGTAATGTCTTAAAGAGACAACTTGACCTTTAGAGGAAAGATGGTTTAACTTCTGTGTTTTATGGAAAAAGCAGCCTGCAAGTTACAGAAGTGGACATTTGGATGATTACATTGGACGTTGGGTTAAGTTTAAAGTTACAGACCTGCCGCCTCCATTCCTCCATTTTGTGTTTTTGCACATCTGGTCATGATGTTGTGCACATTTTCCAGAATAGAAAGTAACTGCCTGCCACCAGAGATGCAGGGATTTGCAGCAACATTTTGTGCCAGGGTAGACAAACAGCATATACAGTAATTTTTAAATATATATTATTTACTTACTGTCTAACATTTCTCATCAGAGAATCATATTTAGAAATATATTTTGATACGGGTTTTTCATTGTCATTATTTATCCTAATAGTTCATATAAATACCCGACTAACAAGAGAAATAATCACTTCCATTTCAAAGAATAAATTAGAATTGAGCAAAAGAGGCTACCAATTTGGGTTAACCTGTAAAAGGTTGTTTAGTCAAAAACTAACTTTAATCTCAATTAAAGCAACAACAAAAAATTAACAAACACAAAAACAAGCAGTAGATATAAGTCCACAAATGCTAATCAGGCCTTATGACTAAAGTTCAGCTACTCTGACTGAATGAAGGTTTTCTACACGCTTTTCATCTATTGTCTTTTTTTGAGTGTATCTAAGAGAACGACAATAGTTCACTTGACAATTTGGATCATTTCTTCCCTCACAGCACAAAAGAATTGTCAAGAGGTAATGATCAGCTAATCGGAAGTAAATCTCGGTTCAATGACGGAATCAAATTGCAGGAGGAGAAATGTTACACGACCTAATACGGACTTGGCTTACAGTATTGGAGAGAGAGAATTTGGAAGGTCTTAGCAATTACATCAGTCACAGAACTTGAATTGGTAATGTGAAAGATGAAAAAAGAGGAATTATTTTGATAAACCAGATTTTATTTAGGAAAATCTGTTCTTCCTATGACTCATTTAAGGGTTCATTGAGGTTAAATCCCTGAATCCAGCTGGCCATCTGAAGGGGGCAGGAGAGCAAAGAGCATAATGAATGTGAGCATCAAGGCACATTTTCATTGTTCATTTCTACTAGTTTTTGCATCAAACTAGAGTGTAGCTGGAGCTATAAATCATAGATGTGACCTTTCAGAACTATTGATTTTTTTAAGCCAAAAGGAGATGTAGCTTCTTTAACTGCATGAGAGAAATCATTATGTTCCTGAGCGGTGCTCATCTTTTTTGCTTCACATTGAGCACCAGCTGTCATGTTGTTTAAATCGAAGGAGCCTATTGACCTTAATGATATTCCTGGACACATGAAGGGGAACCACTTCATATATGAACCTTTCTTTTTGCTGGTTTCTACATCGTGAGGGACTAACCAGCCACTGCAAAGCATCATGCAGCAGGTGCAGCTCTCTGCACCAAACTGAGGGCTGCGCCTCTGCAGCAGCAGCAGCCACACAGCTCCTTCATTACCTTTAGAAAAGCATAATGTCTCCTCTTTCCTGCACACACCCTACTGGTGCAAAAATAAATGCACGCACTGTCCTAGAAACCTTTATACCATATCTTACAGAGGACTTAATGTCACACCGCTTTCAGGCAGTATGACCTCCTGACAAACACGGCGACATCCTATTTTTTCTATCTTTGCTCATCACCCCTTACCACCCAGACCCACAACGCCTTCTGCTACCCATCTGTCTCCTCTGCCCCTGATAACCAATCCCACATGCTGCAGCAGAGGGAAATACAAGCCACGGTAATGTGAGCTTCAGGTCATTATCCCGTAACAGGATATACAGTCAAGCAGCCCTCCCCCTCTCCTCATCCATACTCAGTCGCCATTGCTTTAACTCCTTGTTTCTATCTTTAAAATGCAGCCACCACCTGGCTGTCCTTCCTCCTCCTCTCTCATCAGCGCCCCCCAACCACCACCATCTGAATCACGTGTCTGAGGGTGAACAGCAGCAGTCGATCGAGCCATGAAGCCCTTGATGCACATCTCATTTTACATTCATCCTATGCAGTCAACAATTTCAGACTCTGTAAAGCAAAAAGCTGCAACAGGATGAAAAGGAACAGCGTGCAAGACGAGGAGGCTTTCTGAAGGGATGCTTTCTAAAATTAGAAATATCTATATATATGTGTCTTCCTTGTGTTCTTGACACATGTTAAAGCTTTTTTTTCTCTATACAGCATCAGTGCTGTCCCTTTTGTGCGTGGCTCCTGGTTCCAGCCTATCACAGCTCTTTGCAGGGAATTTCCACGGCACAAGCCCCGCCCCTGTTTTGACGCAGAAAGCGGCGTCACAAGCGATGCCCCCTGCGGCCTTGTGGAAGGACAGCCGCTGCACGGCGCGCCAAGAGGACATTCTCGAAGGAAAGAGGAAACAAGCGTGAAGGAAAAATGTAAATCTGAGCATTTTATGGTAAAAATTTCTAGAACATCTACCCATCTTCCTCCCCAGCGTTCAGGGTCACCTCAGCATCCTTCACAGATGGGATTTGGTCTTCTAATTACTGGCTTCCATAATGCCAACCCCTGGAGGAACACACTGTGCCCCAAAGGATAACTTATTCCCCTTCACACCACACACAGCCACAACCAAACGTCCCCACATCAGTACGTGCGTAAGCACTTTCTGTTCTCTGGTCTGTTTTTGACGCAGTGGCCGCAAAAGCAGCACATTTTAGAAGGAAAAGATGCGCACACGGACCCATAAATCCTCTGCCGGCGACTTGAAGAACCGTCTGCAGCGTCACGCCGCCGCATCGTTCATCCCCGAGTGCCACTGCATCAGATTAAAAATTACAACCAGCATCACCAGATGGTGATGAAGCAAAAAAATAAAATAAATAAATAAATAAATAAATAAATAAATAAATAAATAAATAAATAAATAAATTGCGCAAAACCGGCTATGATTTCACATGCAGCTCATAGTTGGTGATTTTCCACCAAGATTCGCAAATTCACTTATTGATTGATTCACTATACGGCTATGACAAGTTAAACCAAGATGGGGGGCTTGAAGATGCGCGCATGAAGACGTGGAGACCAGATCGCGTCGTCTCATTATTCTTCGCCAGAGTGTTTGACCATTGCTGGCGATTATTGAGTTCCAATGTTATGTCACAAATTAAAGGAGAAATAAGCTGGTGAGACATTTATTCCTGGTAACCGCATTATGACGCACGGGTCACTGAGGGTGTCTTCGGCTGACAGCATCCAGTGGAAAGGACGCGTCCTCAGCGCTAAATGCCTTCCAATGGCACAAAGCAGCTGCGCAGAGCCGGAGAGGAGAAGGAGATTAGGAGGAGGAGGAGGAGGACGACGAGGAGGAAGAGAAAGGTGGATTCAATGTGCTCTGTCATCACAAAGGAAGAGCTGCACAAGTATGTGAATATAACACCTGAATCTAACATTATTAAACCAGGATGGGCGCGGATAACACGTGCCATCCCGCCCTTACCCCCCCAACGCAAGAGCAATCTGGAGGAATAAACCGATTAGGGCCTATACTGGCTCGCAAGGTTACGGCAAACGAGACACCTTAACAAGACAACCTTCCTTCTCCCCTGCATTGTGCATCCGATTTCAACTCGGCCGAACCTTTAAGCCTGACGCAGAGGTGAAAACCCAACTGAGCGGTTCTGATCTGACAGGAGCTTCTGGCCGCATCAGTTTTGTCGCAGTGTGTAGAGAGAGCTGGGTAAAACACAGTTCCGCATTAGAGTCAATGTCACTCAGACACAGAGGCTGCACAGGATCCCCAAATGACATCACGGCTCAGTTATTTCAGAAATACAGCAGTAAAGGCAGGTGACCACCCCTCGGTTTTCAGGCCACCTCGACTGGGTTACAACGCAGTGGAGAAAGTTGGAAACGGTGTGTCTTACCCCCATGATGGCGCAATTCTTCTTCTTCTTCTCTCAGGTGATGCACCGCTTGAGAGGTGTCAGCCCCTCACGTTGAATCAGTCAGTGTGTGACTGCCTCGCCTTGAAAAGCAGAACAGTGTAAGCGCAGAGGTTTAGCTTTCAACACACAGGAGAGAGGATATCTGCAGTCTAGGCTGAACAGCTGGGATAAAGAGAGGCTCACACCTTTTCTTTCTTTCTTTTTTTTTTTTTTTAAAAAAAGGTCAGACTGTCCTCTTTTTCCCGTAAGACGTCTTTCTTTGTTTTTCGGGTTTTTTCAGATGGAATGTCGCGGTCTCAAGCGGAGCATCACGCGTGGAACTCGCTCCTTCCTCTGCTCTCTGATACTTGCGGTGAAAAGGACCCGGCAAGAAAAAAAACCTTGCTACCTCCCCAGGACTCGATGCTCTTCCGCGGCTCTGCCGGCTGCCGCAGTACTCCCTGTTCTTCCAGGTTGCACCACTCCGCCGGGGGAAGAAGCGCCTCCTTGAACGAATGGGCGAAGCGAAAGGGGTCGATTGGACCCGCCCACCGCCGGCGAAGGCAACCAATCAGAATTCCGAGCGTCTCGGCTTGGGGTCCAATCAGAAAGCTAAGCCGCCCCTCCTGCTTTACTGCAGAATCCCGCAGCTCGCATCCAGCAGCATCGCGAGTCTCTAGGTTGATTTTTTTTTTTTATAAAAAAAATGGACGCACAAGGTTAGAATCCAAGTCGTCGTGGTTGTAATTGTTTCATATGTTCTGTGCTTATGTAACATCCAAAATAGAGGATTTGTATATTGCATGTGATGAACACACCTAAATGTCTCTTCAGTCGTCCTATCAGGAGCATCTCGAGCACATCTCTAGTTGCCTGCAGGTGTAGATGGAGGTGTGGCTGGTGGGTTGTTCAAAATGTAAGGAAGAGAGTAATGAGGGCTGGAGTCACAGATTTGCATGTTACTGTTCATGTCTGCAGATATCAGCAAGCAGCAATTACTGCTCATATCAGCACATGTACAGTTCTGTCAATGCAGAGTCAGCACTTTATGTCCAAAAGTGAAGGCAGGTGCACCTTGATGAAAGAAAACCGACTGTCTATTTGAAGCACAAGCATTATTTAGTTTTTTTTTAAAGTAAGTCAAACATCTTTCAAAAGCTTTTGCATCTACCAGGACCTTTTTAAATCATGGGATGTGAGGAATTTGATGGATGCTGCCTCCTTTGAGCACGCAGTATGTCAAGGGCGTGGAAAGAGAATATTGCGTGAACACAGGAGAAAAAAAAAAACAGACGTGTTCCTGTGACAGTGCCAAAGAGTTCAAAGACAGACACACAGAGGACGTTCTCCTCACCAAGGCTGGCCTATATGCAGCTGCGAGTCTATAACGCTGCAGTGAGAGCTCTCACACACATATGCACACGTACATATGGAGTCAGGAGGGTAGCATACACATGCATGCACAGCAATGCCTGAGTAAAGTGGCAGCACAAGAGTCACTTGTGCTGTCCCTGCAGCGAATTGCAGCCATGCCTCGCTGCATTCCTTGCTGAGGGCCAGAGTGACGATCACACAGTACCACTGGACCTCAGACCACCGGTCTGGGGTTTGCTCGGGGTTAAAAGACACTCTGCTGCAGCGCTCCTCAAAAACATGCTGTCGTGATGCAGTTGAGTTGTTATTCGAGTCTAAATGCACACAGACTTAATTCCGCTAGAGTTTTTTTGTGGTGTTTTTGTGAAAATCTGGAGAAATAAGGTGGATACAAGGAGATTCTGTTTATAAACTGCTACTGCATACTTTTCAGAAAATGTTAGAGGGCACTATAATTTCAGATTAACTTCATCCATCATTTCGCTAAAAATGCTATTTATCAATGTGTATTAGCTTTCTGAAACATTAAAGATGTTATTGAAACATTTTTTTGTTAATGAGAGTCTTTAGCTTCCTGTTTCTGATAATGATTTTTTTTGTCTTAGACTCTCTGCATCAAAAACTGTTTCATTATTTATCCTAGTCAGACAATTTACACAGATTATTGGACGCTAATTTAATCGTGATGCAGAGTGCAGCTCGTCGATGCTATGTTAGAGTGCTGCTAATAAAGCTCTTTCAATCTCATTTAAAACCAAAATGGCTGCCTGCATTACCACGTCCTACCCTCTGTCACGCCTTCATGTTTGCACCCCCTTTGACCACCCTCTCATCCCCCCGCTGGGAAAAGCTCATCGTCCTCTCAGTACCAGCATGGAGGGGAGAAAAATCACCCAGTTCTCCTGCTGCACAGCAGCAGCAGCCAGATGACCTTGCCTCTGACTTGTTCTGCTGAGTCAGGTATTGAGGAGGTTGGGGAAGGGGGAATTCAGGGAGACAAGGAAAGGAACAAGGAGGGAGAAGAGAGACAGAGGGGTAAAATATCAAGAGGATTATTGCTCTTGTGATTGATTTAATGATAGGAAACTGGTTTCATGTTGGTGTCGATGTTTCATGCTAATCAGTACAGACAGCACTGATTTGTGTGACTTGAAAAGCAGCTCGGCACAGGACTGGCTTCAGGATGAAGCCTCACACACATGTGTGGCAGTGTGCATGAGAATACCCATGGTGTGTGATACTGGAAAGCATGGTGGCACCGGCCAGTGTGTGAGTCAGAGCTGTGGATGAGTCGTATGTCACAAGGTTTGAGAGTCAGAAGTCTTGCGTCTGTGTAGGTTTGAGGAGAATTATGCCTCTGTTAGACTAAAATAGAACAGCGTGTGTCAGTGAATCCTCATGCCAAAAATAGTCTGGACGCTACTGCACTGCATCCATGGAGGAGTTTTCTGCTGAGGATGAATTATAGAGAAAATAGGGTTATTAGTTTCTCCGGAACAAAAGAAATCAGAACCTCCTGGGTGGCGTTTTAAAAGATTTGTCACTAAAGAGATTTACTCCCACAAAGGCATTAGTGAAATCAGGTGATGCTGGGAAAGAAGACCTGGCCGGGAGACAATTTGGGAGATTTGTAGTTCGCAAATCACCTTCGATCTGAACCTTCATCTACAAGAACTGTTTCTTTTAGTTCAAAATACAGCAGCTCTAATATTTATACATATGAATGCGGAAATTCTTCATTTGTGATATATATCGCACTGATTTACAGACATTTTCCACCTCTAATATGATAAATAGCAAGTACTACTTCACTAAGAAGTAAATAAATCTGCAGGGGGAAAACTGTATGAGTGGATACACCTTTAAATTAATTTTGTTGAAGTACCTTTTGATTTAACAATAGTGCTTAGTCTTTCTCTTCACACACTCCAGCAAAAATAGTAAATCTGATTAACTTGATATAAACAACAGCTGTAGGATTCCCCAGATAGTTGCTCGCATTGTTTGTCTTAGGTTAGGATGGAGAAGATCAAAATATCCTCCCTCTCATTCGATAGCTTTAGAAATAATCCACAACTAGGTAAACTTTGAATCTAAACCTGTCATTCATGATGAAATATTTAAAACCCTTCATGTGAAAGATTGAGTCATGATACAGTAGCTTATCAACAATAACACTTTGTTGATATTTTTAGTTTATCTTTAGTTCTCTAAAGAATTGTGTTAATAAAAAGAACACTTTCTCTTGAGCTGTTCAGCAAAACAAAACGAAAATGTCTCTGACTGGTCGATCAGGCCCTCATGAGCACTCCTCGTCCTCTTCCTCCTTCTCTTCCTCCTCCTCCAGAAGAACGATGCTGTTCTCATAGAAATCAGAAACCACAGTGAAGCATTTCCCAACCAAGTCAATATCAGGATTGATCACTCTGTCAGATTTACTTGAAATAAACTTTCCTTTTTTAATGCTATGCTTTGTTTCAAGATTTTAAACTCAAATGAAGTCATACCAATTGAGCATTAATTAGCTCAATTGGTAATTTGAACATTAAATTCACAAACTATAAACTCCCCATTTAGCTGTGCTATTAGTTTATACAGTAGAATTAGCATTAATATCTTTATATGTGCTTGTTTCTCTCTCTTTTTACTCAGTTAAGTACTGATTAGTAACCAACGTTTGTGGGTTTTTCCTAATTAAAATGTAATTGTTGTTAATACATTTTAATCTGGGAAATGTGCAGAATATCTTTGCTTCTTAAAATTTCTAATCAAGATTATTCAGTCAGATGGAAATAATTAATTCTCAAAGCAGATTTCTGATCAATTATATGACTTTGCTAGGGACATTATTGTAGTTTCAAGTAACATCCATACAGTTTTATGAAATAACTGGAAAGACTTTACCACACATTAATACAAATTACTTCAACACATTACCCATTAAACCTAAGGCCATTCCCTAAATAGACTACACAGTGCAGAACAACTTTTTGATTTTTTTCCCCCCATTAAAATAAATGATGCTTGCAGTCCAAAACCATGATGAGCACCTAAAGAAAACCTATAAACAGCTACAACTGAGGTTTATAAATAGGGATGCATGGAGTCATTAGACTTTGTGCACGCGTGTCCATGTGCGCGTGCCTGCCTGAAGGTGATCCTGGCTAATCCGGTTTTATAAACGTCTGACATAATCTGTGTTCCGCTCACAAAGTCCAGAACAGGGAGATGCGAGGAAAAGAGACAGAGAGAGAGGAAAAGAGGAGAGGGAAGGAAAAAGACGAGAGAGCCGACATGGCAGGGGAGAGATGATTGAAAGGCAGATGGGTTTAAAGAGGATGACAGAAACGAAGCATGTGAGGAGAGGTAGAGGAAAAGGACGAGGGTAGCGTGTAGGAAATAAGTAAGACAAAGATGAAGAAGGACAGAGGGGCCGGGTGGTGGAAAATTCCTCTGGGATTTAGAGAAACAGGACTGTTAGTGATGGCAATTCTCTTCATTTTTAGGCAGTCGGGCAAATAAATTGTGGAAAGATTACTAAAATAAAAACTATAATATTTATCTTTCTGATGTACAGTCATGCACTTTCAACCATCTCAAGAACCTGCTGTCGGTCCAGTGATGACCCGGGAGGAGTTTTAGAAACTTCTTTTTGAATCTTTTTGTGGTCTCATCTGAGATCTGAGCGTGCTGGTGGTTGTTTTGAACGTCCTCTTTAATTCCCTCACAAGACCTACAGCCAGAGGTGTGTAGAGTACAGAGGAGAACTACGCCAACATATTTTCATTCAAGTAAAGGCAGAAGCCGACAAGGAAATGAGTCAAAAAAGAGTAAAAAAGTATTCCAGAAAAAAGTTCGAGCATGAGTGACTGATGAGAATATCTTATTGAACATTTGATGATGTCATCAGACCTAAAAGAAAAAAAAATACATATAGCTCAAATTCTTGTATTTTAAAGAATTGAAAAAGAAATTAAACAAATAATAAACTGAGTTACTAAGTTCCAAATTCTGGCAGAGAAAACACTTTTCCAAATAAGTGTTGTCAAAATAAATCTTATGAAACTAAAGTAACAGTAAAAACAGAGTAAAGTACTTCCACTGACAATATG